TGAAGACTGACTGAGGGACCCATTACTGGTTCTTCTACTATAACATTTTTGTGGCTTGCAAAGGGCACTCTTCTGCTACTCTTCTGTTTGGAGGACTAGTAGGTTACGTCAGGCCAGAACACTTTAAATTGCTAAATCTGAAATACCATATGCTGGAGGTTTTTAGGAGCTGCCTTAACCTGCACCTGTAGAACTCTCAATAGAGCAAAGCAAGCTGCAGTAGCATGGAGCTAGGCAGTATAAAAGTCTACACTATGGTCTTTGAGCCTGCAGTCACAGTGTTTTCTAAAGAAAGCATCATGTGTTTGGAGGAATAACTTGTTTTGCAGTATTTCCACACCAGCAAATATTGTACTGTATAAAAATGCTTTTATTGCTGTATCTACTTCTGTTTATCAGATCAGACTAGCAAAATCTAAATTTAGATAAATTCACATGCCAAATTTGTCTTCCCTTCTTTTCAGATAAGAGCATTATTTGATTTCTGGTGTTGGAGGGAGACCCTTTGTGTTGTTTGTAGGAATTGCTATGGGGCTTGTGTCTGCACTACTTGAAATATCATTAGTGGTTTGGGTCTGTCAGGTGTCTGAAATTATTTTCCAGGGGCCACTGAGCCACCCCTGCCAGAGTAATACAGGACAGACTTGTGTTTCTGCTGCTGTGGCCTTTACTGCCTGTTGGGATAATGGCTGTTAAAACAGGTCTAGACTGCAGCTGGGTGATGCACATCAATCTGCATTAACTTAGTTGCACAGAGTTTGCAAAGTTTTTGGGAGAGGACTGTTTTGTTGTCTTTCCCCTTCTCATCTAAATGAACAAATCAGTTTCTCCTGTAAAAAGGGATACTTCAGACCACACCTTTCCCAGATACTTTTTTCCCTCCCCGAGACTTTTGAACACTGACATAATATTTCCCCTTCATTTTTTCAGGTAACCTATTGAATACTGTTCTTTCTGCTGAAAAGGATTAGTTGAGATTTCTTGGGGAGAATACTTGCTGTGGCTGTTCAGCCTCCACCATTCTGGCGAGCTCCCTTCCTGTTACTACTTTCTCTCCTGCATGTTTAGCATTTGTCCCCAGCCTCTGGCAGCTTGGAGTCAGGCCAAGAACAGGGGGATGAGATGAAGCCATCCCTGTGACCATGAGCCTGGGCTTTGTTAGCACTGGGCACCGCTCAGCATGTTATCTCACAGAGCAGTCGTGGAGTTTGTGGTTGATACCCAGTGCTAAATTTAATATATCTGCAAACAGAGAAGATAGTAAAATGAAGCCTTTCTGATTGCAAAGGTTGCGGGCTGTCATCAAACATAGGTACAAGCTGCCTGTTGGAGTGTTGCTGGAGAGTCCCTAACTACTTTTTTTACTTTTTTTTTCCCCGTATGTAGAAGTGCTGAGTAAACACGACTTGACCGCTTCTGGGTCTGGAGCAGCCCACAATGGCTGTGGGGCTGTGCCAGGGCTCCAGAGCAGCACCTTGCCTTATGGACTCTAATCACTGATTAACCCACATAAGGGGTGGATGGCATAAAGCAGATTAAAATAACAAATAGTATCTGTGCTGCCATCTTGTGAAGCAGAATTTTATAACACCTTTAATGTTATTTTGTAAATATGGCAGTGTTGCCATGGCAGCAGAAATCTAGTGTGGAAAAATGTTGCTGAAATGATTTATTGCTGGTTTAGTGCATTGTACAGGGCGGGCAAGTCGTCCTTGTTCCTCACTTCTACTTGTGTAACTTGAACATGAAGTGCATCCGAAGGGCTTTGATCAGGGACGTTAATGTTGCAACACACTTCATGCAGGTGAGTACAACTGAACAAAATGCTATAACACACAACAAGGTCCATACTTAAACATGAAGAATTCACAGAATTAGAGAATGTTAGTGGTTGGAAGGCGCCTTGAAGGATGATCTAGTCCAACTGCAACCCTGCTAGAGCAGAATCACCTAGAGTAGGTCACACAGAAAAGTGTCCAGGCAGGTTTTTAATGTCTCCAGAGAAGGAGACTCCATAACTTCTCTGGGTAATTGATTTCATAGTTTTCAGTGTAGCTCTTGCTGGAAGTCAGTATCCTTCCAGGTGAAATCATAATCATTAAAATAAGTCAAGGTGCTACTAAATCTAATGCTAGCTGTAGACCCAAAGACCCAAAACTTTGAACTTGAACTGACTTTACGGAAGCACTACAAGTTAATACAAAATCTCTTGCTAAAGCATTTTATGCTTATTTTACATGCTGAAGTTCTGAGAACTAGTGTAGCAAAGCAATTCACAGTGTCTTTCATGACGCTATCTTCATGTTACTTCTGTATGCAACATAAGAGAAGTGGTGACCTGCATTATGCCTGCCTTCCTCGCACTGCTCTGGTGACCCATAATCACTAAATGTTGACTTCTCTCAGACAGAGTATGTTTTTAGGATGGGTAAAACTTGAGATTCAGTAGACACTGTCACTGGAGTATGAATTTAGTGCCTCAGATTTAGGAGGCAATGTTTCCCAGGTGTTTGACTCCAGGAGTAAGTTGACAGAAGAGGGCTGTAGCTCTGACTTGAGCCAAGGTTCTCCACTATAAGGAAGATTTGGGGCTAAACGCACCAGAACATGAGAAAAAAAGATCTGAAGAAAGTATTTTTTCTTAGCTGCCTGCTGTGTCACTACTCTCCACTGCTACTAACAGAAACCTCCAAGTTTGGTGGTGTTTTGTGGGTTTTTTAAATACAATTGACATTTTGTGCATGTGATGGTACTCAAATTGTATCTACCTTCACAGAATGACTGGAAGAGTTGCATGCATTTGTTCTGGAAATAGCCTGTGGCTTTTTGTGAAACAACCTTTTTTTCTAAGGTTTCTCATTTAGGAGATGTATCGTGCTAAATCTTGCGGTCCAATGAGTACAAATTCCAAAGTTAACACACAGTCTTCCCTTATAAACAAATCACTGCCACTTCTACTCAGCCAAGCAACACACTGAGCTTGCTTCTGTTGCTCGCTTTCCTTTTTAAAGAAGTATTTATGGGACTGTTGGTGGGGGAAGAAAAGTACCTTTTTTGCATTAAAAACAAAAAGCAAATGAAGAGCTAAGAGCTGAGATTTCTTAAATCTTCAAATTCAGAACTTAGAAACGTGATAATGAGGAGCTCTAAACAGTGAGCTCCTGCTTCAGACTGTTGCATATTTCTAAGCATCTTCAGATAAAAGTTTGGACTTGAATAATCTCACCACCTCACAGACATTTACAGTTAGAATGTAACATTTTGCTTTGGGACTGATTGCTTTTAATTTTATTTTCCAGGAGCAAGATTTTTTCAGAATGAGTTGGCTGTATTGTAATCTGTAGGTCAACAGTCTGTTACACTTCCCCACAGTATGCATGTGTGGAATTGGACTGAAAGGTTCTGGTTGTGAGCCAGGGAGCTGGTAAATAGTTGATAACTCATCTTTACCTCGTCTTGTCTTCACTCTACCTTTTCCATAGTGGCATTCAGTGTTCTGAGCTTTGGCTCTGTTGTCCTGTCCTTGCTTCTCCAAAGGTCTGCTTCCCAGGAGGTAAAAACCGGTGCCCTTGGATCCACATCTGGCAGCATAAATCAGAAATGGCAGGGCAGTGCAACTATAAATTTTGCTGTAATATCCAGTGTGTGCCAAATGGGATGGGCTTTGGGTGGTTACACAGTATATTCTCTCTTCTATGCTGAACACTGGCTCCAGCATTTCCAGTCCCTTAGCCAGCCGTGTGTGCTTTGCTGACCACACAGACTGTCAATGAAAACTTCATAACTGGTTAAGTTCATAGTGCAGTGCTGGTGCTTCCAGTTCCTTTGACCCTTGCCTTGAATGAGATGCAGAGCTGGGGTTTTTGTGGTTTTTTTTTGTGTGTTTTGGGGATTTTTTTGCTTTTAAAGTGCAAGCCTGAGCTCATTACACTGCTGCTGTTTTGCATGGTCAAATGTGGAAACTGGAATCTCCTGGTGAGCAGCATACTGTTTACTGCTCATGGGTCTGGCACAGAAGTCATCATTGTTATCTTGCCAGAAACTCACTGCAGAACTACTCTGCCTCTGATTACCAAGAGTCAAAGCAGAATTAAGCAAAGCAAAAAAGAAATTGTACCTCAATACTTGGCCCTGGCAGGCTTTCCAATACTATGTTTTAGAATTAAAGTTTTGGGGATATATTTCCATTGGTGAGGTCTGAGATTATTTTTTTTCCTCTGTGTTAAATTCTTTGTTTCTGTGCTGGCAAGTACTGTGGTATTATGAAAATAAAAGCAGGCTGTGATTATGATGTATAATCCCACATATCTTTCTTCAGGAAAACATCTGTTTATACATGTTTGAACACAAATGATAAGACTAAAACTGGCATAGGTAGCTCTGCAGGGCTGTTCTAATGATAGCTAATTTTTAATGGTGCTACCCAAGACTTTAGGGATGTTGCATGTTTTGGTTTGCTTACTGAGATTGCCTTTTTTCCTTCCACCATAGAGTGGGGTTTGGGTTAAACTGTAATAAGTAACCAAGTCAACTGTTTTGTTCACCACTGTGGCAGGTTTTCTGTCTGGCATATATCTGTCAGTAAATTAATGTTAGAAACACAGTATTAGTTACGGGATTGCTTTGTAGAAAAAGAAGTGTCAGAAATGCACGTGTGTGTTTGATAGCTATAGTAGTCTTATTTTACAAGTTTCACACTGAAGAAAAACATTGCCTAGCGTTGAGTTACAGGCCCTTCCTCTTGTATAGCCATGATATTAACCAGTTTTTGTGGGGAACAGTTTCTGCCATGGACTTAAATCTGATGATGCAGTACTTTGTGCTCAGGAAAACGGTGGGTGAGCCAAAGGCAATGCTGCTTTTTTAGCCTTGAAGAATAATAAATTGCTCCACCAGTACCTGTAAATCATTACTGTCAGGTGGATATTCTGTTTCACTTAAAGAAACAAGTAGGAAGTTTTCAGGTTTTCTCAGTCCAGCCTTCTTCTGCTGTCGGCACCATGTCGTATAATAACTTTCGTAACCTCCCCAAACTGCGTCTTAAAAAGCAGAACTCCATACCCTAAAGTAATGCTTCTTTCTGTTTAAAACCACAACTCCCTTTTAACTGAATCATGTAAAAGGAACAAAAGTACTGTAATTGCAGGCATTGGGGAGAAAAGTGCTACAGATGTCTCAATAAGTACTAGGAGAGAGAGTAACAGATTTGGGTAGCTGGTTGCATAACTAATTTACAAGGTCATTTGTATATTTGCAGGATTTCATGCAAATCCTGAGGTTTTTCCTTCCCCTGATTAAACATGTGCAAAACAAAGTAAATCCTTTCAGAGCAGATCTTGTAGCTAAGTTCTGCAATTTCCAAACATTGGTAAAACATGTCTTGTATGTAATGGAGCTGTAGCTACTAGCAGGTTATAAATAGCAAGCTCTTTGTGTCCCAAGAATGGAAATTTAGAGGATTATAAATTACAAACTAAACCTGCTCGGAAGGCTGCGGTTCCCTCTTAGTATTGGGCCCAGGTTGCTATTAACCCTTCCTTCTCAGCACCAAGTGACACCTTCCTAATGGACATTCAAATATGAGGCTGTTAAACGTAACACCTGGGCCAGCGCTGACACATGGAGCTCTTCCTGCTGGTGAACCTCAGCTTTAAGTAGCAAATTTTTCTATCAGAAGGGAGAAAAGCAATTTTGGATGGCACAAGTGTGTATCTTCAAGGACAGTTCAATAAGATTTATTTTTTTTTTGGTGCCCTAGACTGAAGATGTCAGAAAAATGTTTTCATGAGAAAACTGAGAATTAGAAATGTAAAGGATCCAGGGAAGGCACCAGATGCTACTCTGCTGGCATACAGCTCGCTTCACTGGAGATGGTCCATTGATCAACAGGGGCAGCTTCAGCTCATAGTGAATATCTCCTGTGGCTCAACAAGCTCCTCCCACTATTGATACAACTCTTCTTCTAGGAAACATGTTTTAGGAAATAAATTCTATAGAAAGAGCTACCTGGCTCAGGTGAAACTCACATTTGCTGAGAGTACCCATTCTTTGTTTATTCTTCCTTATCTTCTGTTTTGGAAAAGACAAATGTTACATTTTGCCTTAGCGTGTATAGCTATTTTAGTCTATAAAATGTCATTAATAAGGGTGGCATGGGACCCTTAGCATGGACCCACAAAACATGAACATGCAAACCAAGATGGAGCCAGGAATCTTGCCGGGAACAGGATTCTCCTCACCGAAGCAGCTTTTATACTGCAAACTACTGCTCTCCTAATCACACTTGCTTCATGCAGTTTTATGTCATATTGTCCCAGATTTATGGCTCGTGGTTTCCTGAAGAGCTGTTTGGGTAGTCTGTGCTTCAGTGAAACAACTTTCATATGTCCTGTAACAAATCCAAAATTGTAATGGAGTAGGTCATTTGTCTTGAGTTTGAACGTGAAACAAAATGATACAGTGAGTTTTTTCTTCTCTGTGGTGGGGGAAAAACTGGCTTATTTTCAATTTGGTTCCCAGCTTTCTGGTTTTCAGTCACCTCTGTGGAGGTGTCGTTAGATTTGTAATGCTGTCTCACACAGCATACAGCTATGCTGCCTTTATGACAGTAAGTAAAGTGAACTAATATCTCAGCTTTATTGATGTCCAGTTATAAATAGTATTAATGTTCTTCTAACAACAGTAGAGATTGCCTAAGCCAAAGGAAAAAAAAAAAAAAAGAGGAGGTGGAAGAACTAAGCAGATTTATAGTTCTCGTAATGTGATTTAGCTGCTAGAAGTAAGAACATCACAGGGACAAAACACTTAGACCACCAATGTAAGGAACTTCTGGTCTAGTGATTAGGACACTAACCTTTTCCAGGAGTGCTTTGGTAGAAAGTTCTCCTGGGTACTCAATATAAACACATTGGATAATACAGCTCAAAATCTTTTACTGGCCTTCTGAACTTTTTAAGTATTTAATAATTACTTTATTTCTATCTAGTACCATACCTCAGAACATGATTAGTTTACCACCTGGAAGGATTTAGCCATTTTAACAAGAAGACATCTCACCTTATGGGCAGTGGGAATGTTTCAGCCAACTCACTGCCAGGTCAGCCTCAAATGTTATAATGTACTTTGGTCTGTTTCAGCAAAAAGCTTCACTCCTACCTCCAGCACTGGCACCGTGTGTTTCTTGGGTGAATGTGAAGGGCTGCCATGTGTTGTGGGAGGAGGACGAGCCACGGGAGTGCTTGGTACTGTGATGAGCAGTGCTGTGAGCTTGTTGCAGAGCTGACCAGCTTCAGGAACCAGCCTCCACTGGCACATTGCTGGTCTAGATGCCCTTGAGGTTCAGTCTTGGCATGGCTATTACAGAGCTTTTTAAATGCAGATATCAGTAATACACAGCATCCTGTGTGAACAAACATGAAAATTTTCTCCTTAGCCCACACCCTTTTCACTTACAATTATAATGTGGTACAAGGGTTGTCGGTAAAAGGTGACACTTCTATTAAAATCACAAAGACCAATGTCTTTCAAATGATGTCCTTTACAGGTGGATGGAAGTCTGCTTGGAAGAAGAGCTGCCCCCGACTACAGAGCTGGAGGAGGGCTTAAGAAATGGTGTCTACCTTGCCAAGCTTGCAAAATTCTTTGCCCCTAATGTTGTGTCAGACAAAAAGATCTACGATGTGGAGCAAGCACGCTATAAGGTAATAAATTTCTCTCACCAACAAGTCAAAAAAATGTAATGTCTGTCTTCCAACTCGTAAAGATGCCCAAGCATAGTTGGTTAACTTTCCTCATTTCTTTTGTAAGATGCTCAGGACTAGATTCAAGACACAGCACTAAGAAGCCAGCACAATAAGTTAGAAATATTTTGCTCTTAAAAATCTATGTTAATGTCACTTAATATTTTTTAAGCTGAACAAGTTTTACTTCTGGCTCAAGGGAGAACATGAGCTTTGCTATTTCCACAATTATTTCTCATTAGGAATAAGAGCCAGAAGCAATTTAGTAATTAAACTTGATAACTATTCAAAATTTTCCTCATCTTATATGGGAGCACATTCACCTCATTAGACCTGTGTGTTTATTTTATCAAATTTAACACTGAGAAGTAAAACACAAGCTACCAGTAACTAAACTTAGCTTTCTACTTGTGTGAGCCCTTTAACTCCAAAATCCTCAATAATATAAAAATATATACACGCATATGCAGTAGTCCCACTATGGAATGACTATCTCAACATATAAAGGGGCCAGAAAAAATTAGGAATGGAGTTTTTTAAGGCATAATCACCAGCTGTGGTTTGAGAGTTGAGAAACTAAACTGTTCTAGGTCCTATATAGTTGTCAGTGTCATGATTAAGAATGTCAGTTACATTTAAATGCTTCTCTTGAAAATGTTCAAAACTTTAGCTTAGGATTCTTTTCCCAATTTACCCTGACTCTTTAAAAAATAACTTAAAAAAATTTAATACTTTCTCACTTTGCTTTTTTAATTGCTGCTTTTGTAGGCTGTAGGGAGGCTTGGGTGCTCAGATAGAACTGAAGAGTGACCAAGAGCTGCTTATCTACTCTTTTTCACAGTAGTGCCTGAGTAGTGTTACCACATCTGTATTTTGGAGGTAGTGGTTCCTGTTATTTCACAGCCAGTCTTTACTCCCAGAGACTACTAAGGGGCTGTACAAATGACCACTTCAGTCAGAGGCCACCAAGATGGGTGTAAGTTTGGCTTATGTTGCATAAAATTTAGTTGGACAGCATAGGGCTGTTTGATGTGTTTGGATGCTTCCTTAGCAGGACTGAGGCTGTAATTCCTTGGTGTCCAGGTTCAAACGAGGGAAAATTCTCTGAACTTGACTTCAGAATATAAAATTGGAAAGCAACAGGAGGATCAATAATTAGAGAATTTGCTTTATGTGATTTTTATTATCTCTTGCTTCTGTGTTTCCAATAGAGATCCGGTCTTCATTTTCGGCACACTGACAACACAGTGCAGTGGTTAAGAGCAATGGAGTCCATTGGTCTGCCTAAGGTAAGCCATTTAAATTTTAGCTCAAGGAACTGAATCACTAAGTCTGCTTGAGCATAAATGATTGCTTACAGTAAGGCTACGGGGAAGGAGTAATTCAGGAAACAAATCTGAAGAGAAATTAATGCTGAAAGCGGCAGGAATGTCAGTTATGTGCTACTGCTGCCAGTGTGCGTGGACTGAGGCTGCTGTGGATGAGTGCTGTGGGTGGAAGTGCTCAGGGTGCTTTTTCTGCGGAAAGACAAATGGGGATGCTAGCAGTGTTTCAGCTATGTCTTATTTCTAGTACTGTCTCTGTGGGGGCCTGAAAGGAATACAGTTTAAAACAGAAAACTTAATTATTTGCTTCCATTAGGTTGCTACCTCTCACCATTTTCTCTTGCTGCCTCTTCCTCTTAATGTACATCCCAGTTTCTCTACCTCTACCCTATTTCCAGACTGTCCTTGCACACTCCAGTGCATCTGCGTGGCTATGCTGCTGCTCTTCTCCCACCAGCTGTTTTCTTGGGTCACCTCTCGTATTTATCTTCCTCCTTGTGGGTCTTCGCTTGTCATCTTCCCCCTCTGCTGCTGTTTCTGGGCACCAGTGAGTCTTTTTTGGATGAAAATCCTTTAAGAAAGGGTTGTGTGGAAACACCTACTCTACTTGTTTGGGCGTTTCAGCACTTGAATATTGCCTGGAGAGAGTATTCTTTCACCCAGGCTGCCCAGCAGCCACCCCAGGTACCTGGGTGGGGGCAACCGTGACACTGCCCAGCACACCGTGGTTCGACACAGTGAAGATGCTCGGATGGGCAAACACACTGCAGATGCCCATAAGCAGAAAAGGGCACCCGTGACTGCCATCAGAAAAGCCATAAAGATGGGAAGGGTTCTACCTTTCCCCTGGCAGGCATTTTTTTGGGTCAAATCTGAGTCCTCTGTTCAGGGGACTGATCTGCACCCTTCCATCCCTCCTCTGAAAAGCTTCACTTCTACTGTGGAGGATGGTTGGAATTAAAAGCCTGCCTCCCAAAGCTGCTGTGAGCAAATGGTGAAGAGGGCACTGCGCTCCTCACTTAGTCTTGTTCTATTAACTGTGGGACAGCACAGCCCCACGTGCCCAGTCTCGGCTGGAAGCACCCTGGCAACTCTCAGGGTTCGCTAAGTCTTTTATTTCATTTTTGTGGAGAAACAGTGTTTAGTGACTGGGACTAAGGCCAGGAACAAATTAGTGGTAGAACCAGAATTGGAACTTATGATGTGACTTTGCCTACATTGCTTAATATTCCTCTTTCTGAATATCTTTCTCTGTAAATGATGTATTCACAAAGTTAGGGTTGCTGGCAACTAGAATTTTACACTTTTAAACCATACTTGATTGTCTGGTTTGCAATGAGGTTTGTGAAATTGTGATGGCATCCCAGTTTTGGGTGTCTGCAGGAAGACAAGCCATACTGGCTGAGCTTGTGCTGAAGGACCTTTCTAAAAATTTTGCTGAAATGCTGTCTGCTTATCTTCCCTTTTTCTCTCTTATTAAGTAGCTTTTATGCTTTATTTAATTCTTCCGTATGAAAACTACAGATAAAGTTAAAATAACATCAGACAAGACTTGATTCATAACTTTGTAGATGCAACAGCTGAAATTCTGTAAGTTAAAGGTATGGTTCTGTAGTGAGCACACTTCAGCTACTTTTCTGCTCAGTACTATGTCTTCTCATTTAACTTTGTGCCCTTTGTTTTTTAGATCTTTTATCCAGAAACTACAGATGTCTACGATAGGAAAAACATCCCTAGGATGATATATTGCATTCATGCTCTAAGGTAACTTGTGATGGGAGTAAAAAGTTAAAGTAACTGCCAAAACTAGGAGTGTAATTCTTGAAATGGCTTTAGGGCAACCAATATATCAAAATCTATACAAATTTACAAGTTCATATAATTTAAAGTTGATGACAGAAGGCGAACTTTGTCAGAACTACTGGCCAAATAATTTTCAAAGTAGAAATGAAGGACTGTTGGATTTAACACAGACACCACTCTCTTAACAGGTGTGCCCCCTTACAAAGTGCACATACCTTTTCAGAAGACGTATGGCAAAAAAACCAAATAAATGCACAAAATCTTAACCAAATATTGGTATAACCATAGGGCAGTTGTGTTGATCAGAGCGAAATTGATGAACTGACATCCTTCTGTCCCAGAAGAGGATCAAGTAATTATACTGCATATTGAAGTCATGCGCATAAAAATTGACATTTTCCAAGATTGCAAAGTTCTGAGCAACTTTATTTTCAATGTAAGTCGGGAAGGTTCTGACTACACCACTGAAGGTAGAACTTAAATTATTTTTATGTCCTGCCTTAAGAATTTTCTGGATGTCTAGTACTAAAAGTAATGAATATCTGCCTTGTGCTGTCACTGGTGTGAGGAGCAGTGGTGTAGGCAGATAGCTCCTTCTCCTGTGGTTCTCCTAGTTCATTTCCTGCACATGGAGACCTCTTGCTTTCATTACCTGCTTGCAGAGAACATAATTAACTTACACCCCAAGTTTTCTTCTGCGTTCCTGATGGTGTTCAAAGGCATATCAGCTGCTCCAGGGCTCCAGGTCAGAAACAATTCAATATGGTCGAATCTTTGAAATGAAGTGCCCACACCTGCAGCCTGTGCGCACTCACTGCCAATAAATAGGGCATACCACCGAAGTTTGTTGCATTTCTTTTAAATTTTAGGTTTTCAATGTTGATAGGCCTAGCATTTTTTTGTCGTCAAGTGTTGCCACTTGACATTATTATTCCTGGTGTAACATTAACTGGACAGTATCTTCAGGACTGTTTGAGGGTAGCTCTTGTTTAAAACTTGTTAACGTGGTCTGTTCTGTCAGTGAATGCGTTGTGTGAGCTTGAGGTGATTTTCTGAAGTGGATGCAAGGGGCTCTAAAGTTAACCAGCTCAGGCTGACATGGATGGCTGCTTGCCCCTCTGGCCCCAGCCCCATTATGGAGCTGGCTCAGATGTTTTGCAGGAGGTGGAAGAAAACAATGAGGTTTTCCAGTATTTCCTTCCTCTTGTGTGGAGGAGAATTTTACCAAGTGGGGATTTGAATGCTACATGAAAGTGAGTTAGACACTTTCTTAAAAGCCGCCTAATCATTGCAGTGACAATAACTACTTTCATCGTGAGCTGAATTTTGCAATTAACTGACCTTTGGTAGAAATTTCCTTTTTCCATCTTGATGTGACCCAGGATTTATGCCAGTATCAGTCTATGTTGTCTCAGCTTTCGCTTCCAGGTTTGTCTTGTTTAAATTACTTTTTTCTTGTTGTGTATCAACATGAAGGTATAACTCTGTACTTACAAGCTATTATTTGAGAAATGGGCTTCATATCAAATGTGCCATGCCATACCGAACAGGAATAGGCCTGCAGTTTTTTTGCTTATGGTTTCCTATGAAAGTGTAGGGCCCTGTGCCTGCATGCTATGCAGGATGTAAGAATCAAAGAAACAATTGTTGAGCTTCATTTATTTTCATGTCTCGTCCTAAAATGCACATCATAAGTCCTTCAGTAGAGTCTTTCAGATCAAACTTTAGTGGCAATATTGAACAGCACACAGACTACATTGAAAGCTGTCTGGGAAACAACAGAATTAAGCCAAGCTGGCAACATTCCCAGTTGGGTTGGCATCAGAGGAACACTGAGCTGCAGGAGTCCAGTTCCATCTCCCTTCTGCTGTTGTAACTACTGGCCTGCTGGTGTCTGTGCCCCTGGGTCCACCTGTGCACCCTGCTCTCTCAGCTCTCTGGATCTGTCATGCATCCTCTCCAAGGGATCAGTATAAGGTTCACAGACCCTGGATAAGTCCATGTCCCTGTTGTTCTCAGGGTCCAGCGCCACAGCATGTAGAAACAGCAACTGCAATCAGGCTTTTAACCTTTGCACCTGTAGCACATGCACACGATCACTATATGAAGAATCACCATTGGGTTTCAATGCTAAATTTTGATGCATTTTGCTAAATTTTAGTGTATCTTTAATGTATCTTAGCATTGGGATTCAGTGCTAAATTTTAATGCATCTTGGAGTACATGCTCAAATTTCAGAGGCTTATAGCCTGGAAAAATTAATCACTTTCTCAGAGAGGTGAGGGATTGACCTACTTCCCCTTCTTTCATAGTTGTCACCACGCCATTTCTCTGAAGCAACATGATTCCTGAGCTTTCCAAAAAACTATGTAAATTTAACACAGATAGGATATTTTCCTATTCTCATTCTTGGAAATGCTGAAGCCATCCTTACTTGAGATGTTTTCCCACATGAGTTCATTTATGCACAGTCAGTGTGTATAATTTAAGCGCTTAAAATTGATAAGGTTATTTTTAATTGCACCTTTAAGAAATATGAAATAGCTTTAACTGTAGGTAAGAGAAGCAGAAAGCTCTATCCAAAGGGTCTATTTGACATCTGAAATTTCACAGGCAAAGTCTTTAGTTGTTTGTGAGTTTGCTGCTTTTTGAGCTGCTAAAGGCCCTAAAGATAGACAATGGCTCTAAGCAAGATGGCTTGAGTATATTTTTAGGATATGTTCTACTTCAAGGATGAAATAAAGACCATTGCACCTACAGTATGAGGAGCAACTTGCACTGTCACCCACAGCACTGCTCTGGCCAGGAGGGAGTAACTTAGCAAACAGTTTCTAGACCTTTGTTGCATATAATTACTCTCCCACTTTTCTCCTTTTGAAACATCAGCACTTAAAGCTCTACTCAAAAAATACAACGGCATGAGTCTCATTTCTTGCACTGTTTTTCTTATGAGAATGGATTTGGACTAAATGCAGTTAAGAACTGCTTCATACAGGTTAAGGTACTGTCAGTAATTCTTATTCATAAATAGCAGTGCTTATGAGAGGTGGTTTTTTTCTCTGAAAATTTTAGTTTTCAAAAGACCTTTGCACACAGATTGCTGCTGTATCCTGGACCAACTATTTCTCTGAAGCTGGAAAGCTTCAAAATACTGTTTTCCTAGGAAGCACTGGAATAATGAGTATATGTCTTCTAAAAAAAACCCCAACCCACCACACCTCTTTCTTTTCAGATCTGTTTTTACAGCATACTATATGTGAGCTAAGTATAAAACAGGACCCAGGAATCTCTGCCTGTTATGAAATGCAGTTCTGCATGAGCAATGCAAAGGAAGCTTCACCTGGGAACTGACCTTTCCCCTTTGTTTCTTGCCTGCTCCTGACGTCTCATATCCAGCTTTGTTAACCCTAAGACTCTTGGCTTTTGATTTTGTGTGGGTTCCCTGATGTTCAAGTAACACTTATAAAAGCATTCAGCAAGCTGTTTCAAGTGAAGTTATACCTTGATGCAGAGAAGTGTCTTTGTGCTCCCTGCAAGACGTGAGGCACATTTTCAGCACCACCTGGTGGTTAATAAGTTTATTCAAGCAAAGGAGCATAGCAAGGAACCCACGTGGGTCAATGCTCACCTGGAAGCGCTGAGCAGCAAAACTATGAGTCTCTAATGTTCATACCACTTTTTCTTCCTCTCTCTTATTTTATTGTGGTGACTTCTAGACAAGCCAGCGTAGCCCGATGATGCTGCTGATCTCCAGAACTGTTTGTATGACACGCAGAACTTCAGTTAGGACTGTATCCCTGCTCAAACTTAAGTAAAATCTCTTTAAAAGCCTGGAAGGAAACACTAGCAGGTAGATCAGCATTATGGAGGAACGTGGTTCTTTACTGTTATGGAGGAATGTGGTTCTTTACTGTAGTCATGTGGGTTTTTTTCTGTTGTAGCTAACTTGCTTTTAAGACTGTTCTGAGAAATGCAAATGGCAGTAGCAATGATTTTGAGAGGCTGGAGCCATCAGAAGGGTGTTGACCTTCAGGAGATGTGCTGTTGTGTCCATCCAGGTCATGACGGGGCAGAGGAGTAGATGTGGAAACACAGAAGATAAAATGTTGATCCCATGTACTCAGAAACAAATGTGACAGCTACAAATAATTGTTTTGAAACCTCATTCTGCAGTTTGCTAATATCAAAAAACAAACAAAACAAAAAGCCAAGAAATCAAACAAAAAACCCCAACCCAACAATAAAACACACAAAAAAGAAATACGACCCTCTAGGAATAAAAGCTCCAAGCCACAATGCACATTTGCAATATTTGAAGTTAGAGTCAAGTAATTTAAAAAACAGATGCAAAATAATATTTTTGGAGGAATGTGTTATTTAAGTCTGGTTTTTAAATTCTGTGGTTTTGATCCATGCTTGAAAAACTCACATTTATTGAATTTCACTGACAAATTATAGAAAGACTAATCTTTTGTAGAGAAATACTTTGTTTTGAAAGACACTGAGAGAATATGGATGTACTCAGCTATTTTTTCAGATAGCACTCCAGAGTTCAAAGAATAATGAGTATAGGTATTTTTCAAGCTATATTGAAACAGAAATATTAGTTCCTGGGTAGCACTTTAAACCGAGATTTCTTCATTTTCCCTAAGCTGAACAGCTAATGACACCGATATACTCAAGACGGGCTTAAATAGACTTACAATTCCTTGCGCATCTACACAAAGTAAGAATTATGTCAATGATCATGGGTCTTCAGCCATTAGTTACAGGGATGTAATAATGCAAGTCAAAACAGTACATAGATCCAAAGCTATAGTGTGCTAAAGTGCTTTCATGTTTTATGTGGGTTTTTTTCCCCCAATACTAGCTTTTGAATTTAACTGTCTTCCATTAAGTTTTTCCACTTTTTTACACATTCTCTGTGATCTGACAAGTACTGGCAGTACTCTCCTTTTGGAGATGCTTCTTTGAAATACCAAGTCAAAAAAGACTCTTGTGTAGGACTTAAAAATACAGCATTAAGAAAATTGTAGGGTCAATTTATTTTGTATTAGCTCATGAAACTCAAGGGTTAAAGGACAAGCTTCATAAGTCTTTTGCTCTTGTACAGAAAGCGAACACCCCAACAATATGCAGTATTTAAAATTCTAATTTTCTTCTTTGCAGTTTGTATTTGTTCAAACTAGGATTAGCACCACAGATCCAAGACCTGCTGGGAAAAGTAGACTTCACAGGTAATAAACTGTTTATCTAATCATGTGTTAGATGGGTTCCTCATTCGGCAAATCTGCTAGCATTGTACATATTTTCTATTATGGTCCTTCTCCTCCTGCAAGGTTTTTCTGAACACATCCTAATTAAATAGGTGGGAGGCTGCTATTTTAAAGGATATTGGTCTCTGAAGGAGAGAAGGGAGTGAATTTGCATGGGATACTTGTCATATCTTAGATTCCTTCAAAATGGGGAGGAAACACTGCTAAGAAGCCCTAGACACAAGCACTTCAAAAACATATCTGTATTTGTAGGTATGGTGATTCATAATGAAACTCTTATGCTTTTGTTCTGAATTTATTTTTTTTTACCTAAACAGAGGAAGAAATCAGCAACATGCGAAAGGAGCTAGAGAAGTATGGTATACAGATGCCATCTTTCAGTAAAATTGGTGGGATTCTGGCCAGTGAATTATCAGTGGATGAAGCTGCATGTAAGTGTAGCTCCTGTTGTCTTCTCTTGAATAATTTGACAGAATGCTAACAAAATATTTACTATATTTTAATTCAGCTAATTTGCTATCTCTTAATAAGTAACAAGAAAAGCAAGCAACTTTTCACTATCACTCTGCATCATTGTTACAAGACCTCTAGTGATTTTCTGAGCCTGCATTTCTGAGGATCTCCATCGAACCATAGGAAGTGCAACCAGAACCAAGTATTTCTTGGAGTCTTTTGTATGAGTTTAATGTTTTGGTAGCTAGTGCTCCTCCAGAATGACGAATAGATCTCTATGTGTGCCTTTGCACTGTAGGGGGATATGATGCATATGGCCATGAGGACAAGGTGTCTTCTCTGTGCCTCCTTACTCTGTTGGGCTCTTGCAGTTTTCCTCAAACAGCGGTCAGCTTGCAGTGAGGACAGTTCACAATTCCAGATACACAAGTCTCTGGTATGTGGTGGTACATACACGGAGGAACCACTTGCCTCTATGGGTAGCTTTTGATCTATCTGAGTGCTGGTTTGTGACCCGCAGTGTGGTAGAACCCTGCTGAAGGGCACATTCTGCTGGTGCACACAAAACAAGCTTTTACTTTTTGGGAGCATTGATGCGTTGTTATGGTCCTTTTGAATCTGTCCTCAACAAACAGCTCCCACTCAAAACTCAAGTTAAATACTTTTTTGCTGCCCAAGCATATCCATCTGTAAATCTGTTTTCTCTCAATTTCAGTTTTTGTGGAATGAAGTGATATATATATATAAGAGGAAAAAAAAAATGCTTGAACTTGAGTGACGTGAAGTGTGTACACTGAAATCCACACTTGAACTCTAGTTATTTTGTTCAAAATCTTAGCCTTGTTCAGAGGAATAAACTGAAGGGCTGTCTTGAGTATATTCAGTGGCACCATGGGCCGTTAATACAAGCCAGTAACAGTGTTACAGGCTGTACATGAGGAGGTGATGGTGATAAAGGCTGCATGATAGTTAACTTCCATTGCAACTTTGTTAGACCTTGTGAAGTCGCATAACTGAAACAATCTGATTCAGGATGTTGCTCAGTATGCTCAACTTTTTCAGACCTTAACTAAAACATGTTTCCTCATGTTGATTTGCATTCTCTGCGTTCTATATTTTGGAGCCTGCTGTAGCTTAATATGTGCATGTTTCTGCAAAGCTAGCTCTTAAAATACTGTTGTCGGAAGTGGGAGTAGTTAGTCTCCTTTTTTAGCTGATTTTCAGAGATTTAGTGACTACTAAGCACTCTTTCAGGGAGTTTCCTGCCTTCCCTGAAGATGAAAGGGCTGTGACTTCCTTCTCTGAAAGCTTATTATAGTATATGTAGGGTTTCCTTTAAGTTCTGAAGTGTTTTCAGTCTTTCATAGAAAAGCACTGTTTCCTGATGTTGATGCTGTCCATTTGGGCAAAGGTTGTGCTGTAGATAATGCACTCTGCCCCAAAACAGGAAACATCTGCTATGGGAACTCTCATGTACTAGTAACGTTGGATGTGGAGGTTCTGCTGGAGGAAAGGGTCTACCAGCCCATAGGGATCGTCATGTCCAACTCCCTGCTCCTCACAGAACAGCCTAAAACTAAACCGTAGGACTAAGTGTTGTCCAGATGCTCCTTGAACTCTGACAGGCTTAGTGCTTTGACCACTTTCCTGGGCAGCCTGTTTCCCTGACCAACCATCCTCAGTAAAGAACCTTTTCCTGACACACAGTCTGAATTTCCCCTGTTCATAAAGTTTCATGTTGAAGGAACCAGTGTGTATCTGCTTGTTTCTCCTTCACCATGCTAGCTGCTTATGCTTCCCATGTGACGCTGTACTGAATTGAGCTAGAGCAAAATCATTTTGGAACTATTTTCTAGTATGAATTTAATGCTAAACAATACATTATCAGCTAGGCAAGTTTGTTCCAGTAACTGCTCTCTCTGGGAATGTATAACTTTACTTCATGCTTAATTTGCCAATATTGAGTTTCCAATGGTCTTTCTGTTCTACTTTCCTAAATTTGTGCATCCCTTTGTTTTTGTAAAAACTCAAATTTCCTAATCGCTGAGAAGTATCTTTCATTTCTTTCATATACTGAAGGAAACTGAAGGCTCTAAACTCAGGTTTATAAGGCCTCAATTAAATTTAATTCCCAAAAGTGCTTTTTACTGAATGCTTTTCTCTAGTTTAGGAAAACTATGCAAGGTTGCATAATAAATACTGATAGAATAAGGAAAGATGGCATTCATATTTTCCCTCACACTCTCATCAGTGGCATGAAAGTAAATCCTGACAGCTGAGGTCTCTTTGTGGTTTGAAGGTCCACATGAACTGGTGTTAAACTCAGATGTATATAGGGAGTGTCTGGGAGAGGTGTGCTAGCCATTACTCTACACATAATTCATCTGCAAGTAGTTTGGATTTTGTACATTTAAGTCCATTCCAGCAGGACCAGCGAAGTGATGGTTCTCCTGGACTCTGCACTGGTGAGGCCGCACCTTGAATCTTGTGTTCAGTTTTGGGCCCCTCACTCCAAAAAAAATTGAGGTGATGAAGCATGTCCAAAGAGGAGCAGTGAAACTGGTGGAAGGTCTAGAGCACAAGTCGTATGATGGAATGGTGGTGGTTGAGCCTGGAGAAAAGGAGGCTGAGGGGAGACCTTATCTCTCTACAACTACCTGAAAAGAGGTTGTGGTGAGGTGGAGGTTTGTCTCTTCTCCCAAGTAACTAGCAATAGTACAAGAGAAAATGGACTTAAGTTGCACTAGGGGAGGTTTAGATTGGATATTGGGAAAAATTTCTTTACTGAAGGGTGTGTCAAGCACTGCAACAGGCTGCTCAGGGAAGTGATTGAGTCACCTTCCCTGGAAGTATTTCAGAGACGTGTAGACGATGTGCTTGGGGGCATAGTTTAGTTGTGGACCTGGCATTTCTAGGTTGGGTTAGGTGGTCTTAAACGTCTTTTCCAACCTAAGCAATTCTATGATTTTATGAAATATGCTGTGTGGAAAAACAAGAGCATTTTTGACTCTTAAAATCTTGGAGTCATGCATTTGTTTACTAGTGGAAGTTTTCTTATTTTCTCAAAGGAGAGGTTTAACAATTAAGCTGGTCAATGACTGTAGTGAATCCTGTGGCACTTTATCCCCTTCTCCTGTGCAGCAATGTTTTGGGAACACTGCAGAGCCCTTTGGGTGTTCTTTCCATCTGTTTGAAGGTTTCTGGCCTGTGGCTTTACAGGTGGCAGGAGTAAGGACGTAGGAGTAAGCATCACTGTTTCTCTGGTTTTCCAGCTACTCCTTGACATCCTTAGTTAGAAAAGTAGCCTACTCATCCCAGGCTGGTTTACAGAATCACAGAATCACAGAACGTTAGG